ATCCCAGGTTCCATCTGAAAACTGCTCTGAGAAATTTAGATTGTACGGATTTAAACATTCTGTAATTAGAGTTATGGCCCAATTGTGCACTGTCTAGAATAGTGTTTCTCAACCTTGGCAACTTTGAGATGTGTGGACTTCAACTCCCAGAATTCCCCAGCCAGCCATGAAGTCCACATGTCTTAAAGTTGACAAGGTTGAAAAACTGGCTCATGCTGGCTGGGGAATTCTGGGAGTTGAAGTCCATGCATCTCAAAGTTGCCAAGGTTGAGAAGCACTATTCTAGACAGTGCACAATTGGGCCATAACTCTAATTACAGAATGTTTAAATCCGTACAATCTAAATTTCTCAGAGCAGTTTTCAGATGGAACCTGGGATCACCTTGTCCAACTAACACGTTTTATTAGAAGGCATAACCTTTTGTGAACTGTAGCTCACTTTATCAGATGTATGGAGTGGCTAGACCAATGTGGGGTTTCAGTTGGGATCTGCCAGGAGTGCCCCTCTGGATTCTGTATAGGACAAGTGGGACAAACTTTGCACAAAAGAATTACTGGACACAAATTTGACCCCAGGGCTCAAAACAAAGACAAAGTAATATCAGAGCATTTCAACCCCCCAGGACATTATATTGCCAATCTCAAAATGACCGTTTTCCATTTTGGAATGGAAAAATGTTTGGAAAAACATTTAACAGTATCCTTGAGTGAGAGATTGCTGAAGCCACATCAAAAGGTTTCAGGCTATCTCAGAAGGTCTCAACAAACACAATGGGTTTTTCATATGTTACAATTGTTAATTGATAAGGTATAATCTGCTTTATAATGTTTGGAGGACTTTGTGTACATACATTGCAGTTCTTACAAAAGTCCTCTTAGGTAAGTCAGTATTAAAAGATAAAAATCCCTGAAATCTACATGGCCCATGGAGACTACACCGACTACATGTAGGTTTCTTGACAACAATACCAAAGTGCCTTGCTATTGCATTCTTCCAAGACACTTTTCTGACTTCTTCAACGTGCTCTGCAGATCTAACCTTGCGTAGCGTTTTTGTGATCCAACAAAGTCATAATTAAAAACTCAAAGATACCACCATAATCACTCACTTCCATCCCACTGACCCTAAAATGTCAGGATTAAATGGAAAATACCAACCCTTCCTAACCTTGTTTAGCTCTTTTCAATATTACCCAAGCCTGCCTAGGTGCTCTTAAATCGTCATCATTATCCAGTCTGTGCTAAGCTCTTGGTGGACATTAGAAGCAACACCCTAAGTCTAGCTATTTCATAAGTGACATCAGGGTCCTTACCTAACCTGACAGAAGAGGCAATAAGAGCAAAATAATACGTGGGAGAAAGTTGGTAGACACCATGTTACTGAAGCCTACCATAGGGAAAGTAACTTTTCTTAAGGGCTATTTGTTCAGAAGGTAGCAGTGGAAACCTCCCTACTCCAAATTGGATTTATGAGAAAAGGGATGAAAATGGAGGAACCAGTTAGATTCAGGTACCATCCATATTTGCCTTGAACTTGAGACTTGAGTCCTGAGCCTGTGAACAATCATTGTCCATCCTTATGAAGCTTCTGAACCCTGAAATACTAGTTTTCCCATTGCAGTGTAATACTTACCTGCACTGTTGGTCTTTCTCTCAGCAGGTTGAAGTTGAAGTGTATCGCAGAGATTCCAAGAAGCTTCCAGGCCTGGGAGATCCTGATATTGATTGGGAGGAGAGCGTCTACCTGAACCTTATACTACAGAAGGTGACCTCAATCTTTCTCTTCTCCAAGGTTTGCTGGTATTAGCAATGGGGGTGCCTGCTATCTGTGAGGTATTTGAGAATGGGAGTGCTACCTTGGCTTGCATCTGCATGGTCTACCAGTCGTTTGGCCCTTTCCAGGTTCCTCATCTGTCTAAATACAGCAGTAAGGTTATCTGTTCCTCAGCATTTCTGTTTCAGCTTGGCTAGGAATCCATGCACTGAGCACTGGCTGTGTGGTGGGCCTGTGTGCCTGGAACACTTTTTTTTCACTGGAAAGGAGTGGTCGTTCAGAAAAAAGCCACTGGGCCCAGCCATTCCTAGGTCTGCCTCCAAGCTTTATGCACATAGGAAGGTCTCCCATGAGTTCACCTTGAATGCTAGTAACAAGATAGATTCGTGCCTCTGGCTGACCTTGGCAGATCTTGAAAAGGCTAAGGAGAGTCAGGCCTGATTAGTATTTGGATGGGAAACTATCAGGAAATCCAGTGGTTAAAGGTTAGATTGAGAAGCTGAAAAAACCTTCAATGGCCAACTCATGGAAAGATCAGGAGAAAGGAGTGTTGGTGGTTGAGGGGGACAGTGGAATAAAATAACATCCCCTTTGAACTGAGCTCAACTCTTAGTGACTTCATGGATATGTCCATATGGTTTTCTTGGCTGCAGTCCAAAAAAGGTTTGCCATTGTCTTCTTCTGGGGAGTTTTCCCCTCTCCCTTGTCTAACCTACAGCCCAGACATTTCCTGGTGATCTTCCATCCAGTGAGCTCCAACCCTGCTTAGTTCTCTTAAGATCAGCCAAGGTCAAGATCCCACCATTATTCCCCAAACCATCCCAATAATCTAAACAAATCAAGATTGTTGAGAACCCGAGAGAGGTTCTTCTCCTGTGGCATTCCTCACTTGGCAGTTAAGAGAATAGTCCCCTCACCGGTTTAAGCAGAGGCCAGGAGTAAAACTGAAGTCTTTCACCTAATTCAGGTGAAAAAGTCTCCACCTGAATTAGACAAGACATAAATTGGGTTCTAAAGTAAAGGCAATCCAGTGGCTCAGATTTCTGTAATCTTATTCTATTCTCTTCCAATAAATCTTATTAAAGAAAACCTTCTGTTTTCTGGAAAAATGGGCTACCGAGAGCTTGACCCCATTGTCTTGGTATGGCCTAGCCCATTTTCCATCGCTGCCATCCTTCTCCAAGAATCAACCCATGCAGCTTCCATCTACCAATGGCTTGCTCACCAATGTTCTTAACCCAATGTTAGTGATATGGGCATAGTATATAAGGCAGTAGCAAATGGTACCAAGGTCTACAGCAATGTTTGTTCCTGCAGATTACCTGCCCATCTGTGTGGTGATCTGAAGAATGGTTCCTATGCATTTTTTAAAATTTCCATTTCATTTCATGCCTTTCTTCTGAAGCTCAAGACCATCCCTATCCATGGGCTTGAGCTTCTCTTCAACCACCCGGTGAGGTATGTAAGCTCCTCCAAAGTCAGCTGGAAGAAGCCATGTTTGGTGGTTACCTTACTTAGCAGAAGACTTACCTCTAGAATTCTACCAAAACACCCGATGTAGCTTCCTTCTTTCCCCAACACGTTTGCCACCAAATCATACTTTGTTACTCCCTTGATGCGTTCCTACATGCAGGCTGATGATCCAATAGCAGTGCAGAGTGGACAAGGATACTACATGGTGTTCATTCTCTGTCTGGTGGGTGCCACCTGGACAATGCGGCCACTTGGAGTGGGGTATTGGAGTGGAAAAAGCTTGACTGTTTTTTGATTGTTTGAAAAGGCCTAATTGTCAGTCTTAAATTAGGCTTTGGTGTTATTAATCAAAGTGCCAGACATCACATGCCCCTTTGTGGATTTGTTTCATTTCTAGAGGTTCTCGACGTTTGTCAGACAGAGGTGCTAATGATTTATAGAAAGTTGCCCTACTTCTGGCTTTTTTTGGGAAAACAAAACTGTTATATTGTTGTTTCAGATTAGGTTTTAATTTGTGATTTCATCTACCTTGAATGTTCTGTTGTTGAAACTGAAGCGCAGCAAACAAACCCTTGCAATAAGCAAATAACATAAATAAATCTCCGGTTATTCTGAAAAATTCTAAAGTATTTCAATATATTAGGACAGTGTTCCTCAACCTTGGGAACTTGAAGATGTGTGGACTTCAACTCCCAGAATTCCCCAGCCAGCTGGCTGGGGAATTCTGGGAGTTGAAGTCCACACATCTTCAGGTTCCCAAGGTTGAGGAACACTGTGTTAGGGGATAGGGGTGAGCAACCCCTTTTGACAATTCTAAATTCCAGAACCCAAAGTGGAAGGGACCAAAATATTTGGAACTTCTCAGGGGGGAGGTTTCAAGAGGGGTTTTAAGCCTCACAAAACTGTTGCCTCCACATCTCAATTTTTTTTCTCTCTTTGGACTAGTCCAACTTCCAGGAATTACTAGATTAATCAACAGCCCTCCAATTTAATTTGTGAAAGCATGTTTTTATTTCCATGGGATAAAAGTTTATTTCATTTCTTAGATTTCCTTCCTTCCTTCCTTCCTTCCTTCCTTCCTTCCTTCCTTCCTTCCTTCCTTCCTTCCTTCCTTTATATTTCGAATTTGGACACCGCCCATCTCACAAGAAAGTAAGGGCTTTGAGGGCTGATTTGTAAGGTCGCTTGACAGTGGTATTTTCCTAGAGTAGGGTTGAAATATGCCCTTTTCTTCAAAGAATATTGATATAATTTAAACTGTCCAATTCCTTGTTCTCGTGATATCTCAGGAAAGTATCTGTTCTGAGAGTTTGCAGATTTAAGATGAAAGGCAGCGAACCAATTAAATTACCAACTCTTGAATCTGCTGTCCTGCATGAAACCGCTCTTCCGTAGCTTTGCGTTTTCCTCATCCTTTGGCCTGTTTAGAAAGAACCTTTTTAGCAAAATGGGTCCTTTTAGTTGGTTCCTCTCTCATCTGGAAGCCATAGTATAATGGGCTAAAGGATTTTATGACTGGGGGTGGCTATGGGCTCTCTCGGTGGTTTGCAGAGCAATAGAACAGGAAGAAATAACTCAGCTGCCGTTGAGCAACTGAACCACACAATGCTGAGATGGACGCAGGACAGAAGGAAGGCGTTGAGCAAAAGAAAAACACTGCAGCCTGAGAAAGTTTCACATGAACACAGATTAGGAAAAGAAGGTTGGAAGGAGGAATAGATGGAGAGGCAAGAGGCCACAGATCCAAGAAGGGACAAGACTTATGGGGAAGCTAGGTGAAGCAGCAGAGCCTGTAGGCCTGTAGGATTGCATTGACCTTTGTTGCAGCTGAACATGGAAGACGAAGAGAAGAATCTGGCTTCTGCTGTTGAATAGCTTCAGAGTATTTCATTAAATGAAAACTGAAGGATCTCATATTTTCTGTTGGGGGTCTGGGCGTGGGCGCAGAAGGAAAACTGAATGAGAAACCTGAGATGCTGTTTCGTTGCCAACAGCTTGATTTTCTTTCAGCTGGATTATGTAGTGACGTGTGCGGTATGTACTCGTTCAGATGGAGGGGATATTCACATCCATAAAAAGAAGTCCCAGGTGAGAAGCTCTGCGATTTGGGAAGTTTGAAGGGTGTCCCCTCCTTTTGGCTTCAGCCTCCTTCCCTTTTTTCATGTACTTCTATCCTGGTTTTCCTATATATCTCAACCAGTTTTAATTAGTGAGACCCCCAGACATAACCCCGGGATAGCTTTGGGGGGAATTTCAGTTGGCTTAGTAAAATTCCCCTAATCGACTCATCGCAAGGTCAGATTAAAATGTAAGCCCTCCCCTTCTTCCTCTGCCTCCCTCTTCTTTGAGCCAAACCCTTGTTATTCTTCCAAACCCAACAGAGTGACCAAAAGAAATTATAGAAAGGGGTACAGGATTCTATCTGCCTGTCAGTCTGCAGGATGACTTCCCCAAACCAAACAAAACGAGACCACATTTGCAATGGGGGGCAGGGGGAATCAGCAAAAGAAAGATCCAGTTTGAAAATGGGCTGGATCCAGCTTGGAGCTTAGGAGAAAATGGATCTTGATGGGACTGCTCCATTCTGAGCCCTACTCCCTCCTGGGCATATGACCCAGAATGGAACATATGATTCCACCTTGTGCTTCCCTGGTGCAACATACACACATAGACACAACACAGGGAGAATAGAAATGGACACATACATAGATGCAACCCTTCGTTATACAGAAGAACGTTCTGGAGGCCTAACCACTGTTGGTGAAGGGTTTGGAAAGACTTGGAGAACCCCAGCTTCGCAAGCTTATTACTCATTCCAAGCCAACAGGATATTGGAAATGTGGAAGGACCTGAAATCCTGTCTGTCACTAGGATAACTCTCTGAAAATAGAACAGGATCAAATTTGCTACAGTTGGAGAAGATGGCAAAAGGATTGGTTGAAAAATGGGGCTTCATAGAAAATCATTTCCCCAAATTTCTTCTAGTACATCCCCGTGGAAAAGGCAAGTGGGTAGGGGCTCCAAATGTTGGCAACTCCTCCACTCCAAGCCACCCCCCCCAAACATGACAGGTCCGAGCTGCTATTAAGAGGATGGGAAGAATTCCAGAACTCATGCTCTGCAGGGTTGCTCCACCTTGTTCACTTGATCCATTAGTGGAGGATCCAGGGTTTACAATCATCTTACCATCTCCTTCTCCTGCTAGTGCTCATAGCTGAATATGTTACTATGTATATATCACAAATTACATCATATTTTCCAAATGGTGTCTTCCAGCAAGTCTTTGCCTCTCCAAGTAAACACCCCATGGACAGCAAGGGCGAGGAATCGAAGATCAGCTATCCAAACATATTTTTTATGATTGACAACTTTGAAGAGGTAGGTCTTCCCTCAGAGTGGGTCCCTTCTGTAGAAGGGCAAGTACAGTTATGGAAGTATGTGTGGTTATCAAAATTAACTTCATATCTAAAAAAAAAAAAATCTGATATAGAGTTCAACTCAATGTGGAAACCATTTTTTGGAATCCAGTCTTATAAATGGGTTTATAACACATCCAAAGATTGGGTTTTTCCTAACATAAGATTATGATACTCAATTTTTTAATGGTTTCTACACACATCAGAATTTCCAGATTAGACAGAAATTACTGCAACTTCTTTATCTTAGTTTATAACTTATGACTTGAATTATATTGGCGACTGTTGTTAGTTATGTTATAATAATCTAACATTAACTTTAGTACTGACTTAAAGCTTCAGACTGATATAAGATACTTTAATATTATACCATTGTTACTTTCACATTTTATAACATTTTGTAAGTGTCCTCTCTTTTTCTTTTTTCTGCTTTTTTCTGCTTGTCTTTTCTGATAGAATTTGCAAAGTAATAATAAAATTAAATAATAAAAGTAATTTAAAAAAATGAAGCAGTAAGTGCTGTTCAGTCCATACATCCATAACTCTACTTGCGGTAGAATTTAAATTCACCACTGTAAATTGACAGGAAACATTGCTACATAGAGGTGTTAATCACTTGCAGTTTGATGGAGTTTTGACTAAAAGCCTAATCGAAAGAAATCACCTAGATTGGTGGATCTGAGCTGCATCACAAAACTCTGCTGGTTTTAGAGGCTTGGAGAAATGGTGCTTAAGGATATGTTAAGTGTCGTTTCTATTCCTAGTATGAATTCTGATGATCTGAATTTGCTTTTCACACTATTTCACTTATCTAAATCAGTGTTTCTCAACCTTGGTAATTTCAAGATGTGTAGACTGCCAGAATTCCTCAGCCAGCCTACTGGGAGTTGAAGCCCACACATCTTAAACTTACCAAAGTTGAGAAACGCTGATCTAAATCATCTTTGGTGGTTTATATTACAGCAGATCATAGGAAATTGGGCTTAGGGGTCTTTTTTCCATAATAAAACTACTTTTTAAAATTGTTAGAAGATTCAGTGTCCCCCAGACCTTTCACTGAGAGTTTGCTTTCCTGAAATAGACTTCTGCAGTGCTGTTAAACCTCAGTTTGTCATCTGTGACTTAGCCATAGGCAATGACAGACGGCCTTGAGTTTCTCTACAGCTACTTATTTTTCCTTTGATTTATTTGGACGTCACGTTAGGTATTTAATGACATGACTGTAGGGGAAGGCGAGATGGTTTGTGTGGAGCTGGTGGCCAGTGACAAAAGCAACACTTTCCAAGGAGTTATTTTCCAGGGATCCATCCGCTATGAAGCCCTCAAGAAGGTCTACGACAATAGGGTGAGTGTCCTTAATGGTGATCAAGCCGTTGTCTCTCGCGCAAACAAGGTGGGACCAACCAGAAAGGCTTCCTTGCCTGTGTGTGGAGCAAGAATTGGAAGTCTACATTTAATAATAACAGGGAAAGAAGAGGTTAATCACTACCGTGCTGTACAGTACTCCATCACTCTTCAGATCATTTCATCTGCTTAAACAAGACAGTGATTCCTCCGCTGATCTAGACTAGAGAAAGCGGATTTGTTATATAGACACTAAATGCATGGGGGACAGGTTGGAACCTGGTAACCTTCTACAGCACAAATGGCACAGTCCAGAGCTAAACTTTATAATACCACTTTCTGGACCCTTGCCACAATTACAGAACAATGGCATGTCCAATCCAGAAAGTCCACAAGGATGATGGTTGAATGTGTCAAAAGTTGCTGATACATGTCAGAGAATTGGTAATGTCCCTCTTTCTATCCCGTAACGGTAACCAAGGCAGATTCAGTGCCCAACTCAAGGAGAAGTTGAATTGGAAGAGGTCCACATAGTTAATGTCCATGATGTAGTGGTTTGAATTTTGACTATCCATTGCAGGTGAGCGTGGCAGCCAAAATGGCACAGAGGATGTCCTTTGGTTTTTATAAATACAACAATATGGAGTTTGTACGTATGAAGGGGCCTCAGGCCAAAGGACATGCGGAAATGGCAGTGGGTCGCGTTTCCACGGGTGACACTTCTCCTTATGGTACAGAAGAAGATTCAAACCCAGGTTCACCGCTGCATGAGAGAGTAAGTTAACTCTGCCTTGGCACAGGATTAATGACATTCTCTAGTCTCACATGCCCCTTGAAAGAATAAAGTCTGGTATTAGAGACAGTGTGCCATTTTGTGTCACAAAGTCTTTGCCATTTGTTGCATTTTTGGTTGGCCTTGAGTTGAGATGACTAACCTTGAGGATCAGGTTAAGATCCAGCACAAGGGACAACATTAAAAGCTGCTTCTAGAATTGTGGGAGCCGATGGCTTGACTTTATGAGCGAAAATTTCAGCATGCAGCTGCTGACTTCACTTCCAAGAGTCAACTAGGGCTGATAGACAGCCAACTGGTTATTCCCAAGTTCAGCACCTGACTGTTTTAGGTAACCTTGTCAAACAGGGTCAGTTGATGGATCAGTGTCCATAAATGAAAGTTGGTTTATAGATGCTTATTCAGGACCCCCAAGTGTACATGCTTAGGTCTCAAGGCAAGTGTAAGCCACCTTGCGTGACAGAAACATTCAAATAAATCAACAATAACAACAGAAATGAGTTGGATTTTTTATCCACTAGACTGCCATTCGAAGACAATACTGAGCACCATGGAAGGCAATCAGTATAAATCTTGGTTGCTTCTCACCTGTTGCTGTTCCTCTCACCGTCTTAGGTCACGTCCTTCAGCACCCCTCCGACTCCAGAACGCAACAGCCGCCCTTCCTTTTTCTCCCCATCTCTCAAGAGGAAAGTGACCCGAAATCGAATTGCAGAGATGAAGAAATCCCATTCGGCCAACGATAGCGAGGAATTCTTTCGGGATGATGATGGTGGAGGTGCGAGAATTGGGGAGAGCCCTTGGGTTGAGATTGGGGCTGTCAACTGCTGGGAAAGGCGCTGCCCTTTTAGCATTTACGCTAAGGGGCTGTGAGTTGTGGGAAGGAGGGAGCAGCAAGACAAATGGGTGGGCAGAGGGTTCTGTCTTTTTGGCATTTCATTTCCTGGGAGGTTCGACACATTTTTGGTTTGCTTCCCAGTGAAAACTGGGAAGGAGTCAAGCTGTCAACATTCAATGAGTGTTTCTGAATCTTGCTAAAATGATGCCGAGAAAAAAGTGGTGGGCTGCCAAAATGCTTCGGTAGGGCTAAATCAGGTTTGGAGTTTTTGAATTCAAGTGTGGGATTTATTTATGTTTTATTTATTTAAAAGATTTGTACGCTGTCTCACTCTAGATGCCCAAATTCTGCGGAGAAAATGTAGTCATGTTGAGAATTGATCCTCATGCAGAGATTTACAATGAAGTGAAATTATTTGTTTGTTGTTAAATCACCACTTTACTCATGTGTACATGTTATTTGGCAAGAGATTCATAGAATTGGGCAGCAAATCTAACTAAAGGTACTTTATCCTGTGCAAGAAAACCATAAGTTAGAACCAACTTAGGACGCTGGGTCAGAGGAGTGAGTTATATATATATTTTTAAAAAATCTCTGTTCAACTTTGCAAGTCTCCTTGCAAGTAAAAAAAAAAAAAAGGGGAAAAAAAGCCTCTATTAAGTCTTGAACAATCCTGGGCATTTTTGCAGAGATCTTATAAAATGGAAAAAACATTCAGGTGTGGTACATCCAGCCCCCTCCGTAAACTGATTTGCAGAAATCAATTTGACCAGGGCAGCAATGGGCCATCTCAGTTTCTCTTGGTTGAAGAACTTTTTGGCAAATGCTTTGGATCAATTCATTTTTCTGTCTTTGTATTGGGAAGAGGCAAAGTTTGCAGTAAATTCAGAAAGTCTTGAAGATTGGGCAGATCCCCCCTAGGTCTCTCAGTGGATCTTCTGCCTGCCTGCTTGAGAAGACATACAGCAGGGGGTTGCTGAGGTGCAAGAATGTTTGAATAATCTTTCTCCTTCTCCAGCAAAGGGCAAGGAAGAGGAGTTTCAAACAACTGACACAAATTTTGGAGCTATTTTCTAGGAGAGAAATTTCCAGAAGAAATTCTCCTCTTCTTCCTCCTCCTCCTCCTTTTTTTTTTTTCTCATAAAGTTCAATATAATACTACTTTGCTAACTAAAAATACTATGGGTATTTTTCTTTCTTTTCATTCTATTGCAATAAAAACATCTAAAAGGAAAAAAAAATCAGCGGAAGCCTGAATGCCATTACAGGGAAAGGCCCTGGGTTCAGTTCTCCTTTTCCCTATTAAGGATTCAAGGGTGAAGTCTTTACTGAAAAGATTGTTAGGAAAGGGAGGGGAGACCACTGAGCTAAGGAAATACTGGCGGACCTGCTTTCAGGCAGTTCTCCATATAAATAAAGCAAATTGCTGTTATATATGATGGTGAACTGAAGGGTGGGGATCTGACTCTCGCCCGCAGCAGTGAGACCTAAGAAATATCCGGGGCTGCTGCTGAGAGGGGCCCCACTGAGCTAACCAGGTCACCTGGTCTGATTCAGTAAGGGAATTCACATGCATTAGTTTCCTCCCTGAAACTTTGTTCCCTCTGACAGATCTGCATAATGCAACAAACCTACGGTCCCGGTCACTATCTGGAACTGGACGCTCTCTGGTGGGTTCTTGGCTGAAGTTGAACCGAACGGATGAAAACTTCCTCCTCTATGCACACTTAACCTACGTCACGCTGCCGTTGCATCGAATTTTAACTGGTAAGGCTGCTCTGCCTTTCAACTGCTACCTTCTTAAAGTTCCTCAGGTGCATCTCCTGGAATGAATGAAGAGGGTGGAAGAATGGCGTCTGTTCTCTGGTTATACACAAAGGAGTTTGACCTTCCTTCCTTCCTTCCTTCCTTCCTTCCTTCCTTCCTTCCTTCCTTCCTTCCTTCCTTCCTTCCTTCCTTCCTTCCTTCCTTCCTT